ACTGTACCCAAGTGGGCTTCCAGGTGCTGGCCAATGGTGGCAAGGAGACTGTGGCCTGTCATCATAGGGCACCACCACCATTGGGTGGCCACATTCCAGGCTGCCTTTGCTGACCGTGATGACCGAAAGGCCGCCATACTTGCTGCCAGTGGTGAATAAGCCCATTTTATAGAGAGGAATTACTATTCTTAAGTGCGAAGACTGGCATTGGTTGAAGGTCACTCGGCTGGAATGTATGGATTTGTACTCTGCTCATGCGACTTTAAATTGAGTCTCAGACTTGAGCACCATCCACTGCAGGGCTGGTTGGAGCAACAGCTGGACGGGTTCCTCCCTCAGGATCTCTTACTCTGTGTGTGTCTGTAAAACCCACTCTTACCTTTCACCTTCTACCTTGGGTAGCCTACATCAGGGTCTTTGGTTGAGTGCCAGGCTGTGCCTGCTGCCTGATGCCTGCTTGCAGGTTGGCCTGCTCTGCAGCCAGCAAAAGCTGAAAGTGTTTCATGTACCATGCACACCAGAGACTCTAATGCATCTATGCCAACATCCTGAGGGCCACTGCCCAGCAGAGAGCACAGCTGAGCCTCAGAGACCTAGAAAACCTCTCTTGGAATGCTGGCTCTGTTCCCTCTTCCTTTTTGTCACACTGTCAAAAAACCTATGTGTGCTAGACCAAGAAGTGGGTGGCTAGGCCAGTCCCTAATGGGACTTTGTTGCTGTACCCTCATGCACTTCTACCTGCCACATCCTGGGCTCTCAACCCACTGGTATAAGTGCTAGATAATCAGGCCACCACTTCACACTTCAGGACAAAAGAAGCTCACCTGAGGTCTTGGTGCAAAGTCTACATGTCCAGGGCTTGTGTTACTAACCACATCCTCACTAGGGGATCAATAGTGTACTCTCTGGGGCTTCTTCCTCTCTGGGAATGACCAGGCCTTGCTTTATTCACAGGAGTGGCATCTTAGGCAGATCCAGGAGATGCGCAGCATGGATGTGTGCCTGACTTTCATGTAGAGACTTAGATGACTGAGCCAGCCATGGATGGACAGGGAAATGCTTCTGCATCCAAGTTGCCTTGATGAATTCTTACTTAGAAGATGACCTGGCTCTAAGCAGATCTCAAGGGGAAAACAAGAGTAGATGGGCTGGGCCACATCTGTAATTCTAGCACTTAGGTGGAAGAGATAGGTAGAGAGCAGCTGGAGGCCAGACTTTAACTTCATAGTGAGATTGTCTCAAAAGAAAGCCAACGACTGAGGAGGTAGATCAGTGGTTAAAGCAGTTTTCTACTGTGTGAAAGTGTCTGAGTTCAATTCCCAGCATTCTGAGGACAGCATAGACACAAGCTCTGTTTCCTAACCTCCTTTCAGAGGGAAAGGACCTAGCCACTTGATCAAGGTGCTTTACAATGAGAAAAACGCCAATAGTACCTCAGTCCTGCACTGCCATTGAACCTTCCCAATCACTTCTGCTTCCCCACCACTAGGCCAGGGGACCCTTCCCTGTCTGTTCCTTCTCAGAAGGAACACAAGCCATGCTTCTCAGGTAGAACCAGAGTATTTTTGGCAGTCCCTTGGACCTGTTAGTCAGGCCGTGGACCTCAAGGAATCTGCTGTTCAGATGTGGATGTGTAGGGACTGACAAAGCCACAGCTGAGGACAGAGATGGGGCCAGGGTCGCAAGGCTCCTTCCCCATTTGCACTTATCTCTGGATTACACCCAGCCATGTCCTCTGCTGCTCTGATACTGGAGATCGCTAGCACTAGGGGATCACACTGTGCATCTGTGGATTCTGATCTATGCCAAAGCATAGCCATTGGGAGTTGGTAAAGATTGCTGAAGAATGTACTCTGGAGTTGGGGGGGGGGGGGCTTTCATGATGTGGTGTGTGTTGGCACAGGCAAGGGCAGTTCATAGGGAGTGCTGCCAAATCCCTCTTGAGGACCTCCTGCTTACCTGTGATCCTGCCCATGGTTACAGCTGGACTTGAGGTGGTTAGGTTGTGAGCTGACAGATCAGAAACCTTCTCTAAACAGAGCCCTGACTTACCTGGAGGGACGACTTGGCCTTGTCTGATGGCCTGGTAGCTGCTACCCAGCTCTGGCTATTTTGGCTTAGTGGGTGTGGAGGCCATGGTGCAGGTGAGGAAGGTCCTTTCCTTCTGGCAGCCCAAGGAGGAGATTTGGTTTGTCCCTACCTCTGGGCTTTGCATTTTTGTCTTATAAGCTTAAATGTCTCTGGTCCTGGAGGAGCTCGGAGTCTAGAAGCAGAGAAATGACACAGTAAGTCCTGACAAACTTGCTTGTCACTAGTGGCAAAAGGTAGCCCAAGGTGTAGGCTGTCAGGCATTCTGGACCTCAGACATGCAATTATTCTAGTCCAATGCCATCAAGATCTGCCCTGCAGGCAGAACACTTATGTCATGGGATGATATGATGTAGTAAACGCCAGGTGGGTTTGCCATGGAGATGCTCTCCAGGGTCAGACTCTTGAGTGGGGGTGGGCAACTTCACCTACCCCTACCAAGGGCTGAAGGGCATTCTTTCCACTAGGAAATAGCATTTTGTCATTAGTGGGGAGGGAGTTTGGGGGACAGATTGCGTAAGCAGCGTACAAGCAAGATAGCTGGTAGCGAGTGGTGAAAGCTGCACTGCAGAATGAGGAACAGGAGGCTGTAAACAGTTTACAAGGAGCCTTGAGTAGGTTGAGGTTTAAGTGAGCTCAGTGGGTGAGACCAAAGGCGGAGAGATTAGTGTTCAAGGCTAGGACTGAAAGGGTTTTGGAGAATCGTGAGGGAACTGAGTTTGAGGTAGCAGAGGGAGGATTGGGCTTGGCTGTATGGGGTTGTGGATGCAGGAGCATGAGGGTTGGGACGTGAGGGAGTGGTGGCATTCTGGCCTGTGCACATGGCATAAGTGAAGAGGGAAGGTACAGGGAAAGAACGTCTGAGGGCTCACTGGAGTCTGGGGCTAGGCCCTTGTATTGGGCCACTGAACCAGATGTGCTCGTAGTCTCTGAGTGATGCCTCCACCCTTGGGAAGCAGACATACAGATGAGCCTTTTCCAGGTTGCACCTACATACAATCAAGCATTTGATCTGTGTAGAGATCTGTGGTCCCATTGTGTGTGGTCAGGTTGAATTGGCCCAGGTCACTGGACAGGAATATAGACATCCTTTGCCCATAGGTCAGCTCTGAGGACCAGCAGAGTGGCAGAAGCACAACTGGAAGCTCGGTCCATGGAAAATCTGCACTATCCTTATCCTCCTTTTCCAAAGCCTGAGGTATCAGACCCAGCAGGACAAGGTACTGCTGTCAAGGTACATGGGATATGATCCCTCAGTGGTTACTTTTGAGGGTGTGAAATTGAGGTAAGCTGGGCAGTAATCCTTATTGACCAGACTCAAGTTTTCATTTTAGACACAGTACAGGAGGCATTAGCTAGTGAGTTACTGCTCCCATCGCTCAGCTCCATGGAAGTTTGTACTGACCAGCCCAGTACTGTGAGTCCCATACAGGCCCATCATCCTTCCCCCTCTGGGACAGGTGGGAGGCCTCACAGGGACAGACAGCAAAGGACAGGGTCCTTGCTGTCCCAGAACCTTCACTTGGATTAGCTTGTCACTTGACACTGGGAGGCAATTCTGGCCTCACTGTCATCTCTCATCCCACATGCCCACAAGCATGCCATGCCAACCTACCATCAACAATACAAGTCTTTGGGCTCTGTTCCTGTCAGGGAAGGTGCCAGGCCCATTTGCACCCACGGGGCCACAAACAGCCCCAACAGCAGCCACCCCATTCCCCTCCCTCCCACCCTCATTCTTCTTACTGTCCACATGCTGCCCCGGTCTTTTCAGACTTGTGCACAGGAGATGACCCCAGCTGGCAAACATCAGCTGACCCTCCACCTGCCTCAGTGTGACCACTAGGCACCTGCATTGGTCACTCACTTGGGTGAGTGTCTGTGCACACTTGTTCCCACACAACACACTAACACTGGGTCAGGCTTAGACTCAGTCACACAGAGCTTTCTCTGCAATTACCACAATGCCCTAAGCTCCTTTCTTCCCCAGACATCCTTGAAAATGAGATCACTGAAAAGGGCCCTGTGCCAATGTAATCCTGGCCCTGTCTCCATGCCCACTATCCAACACTCCCCCAGTTTAAACACTCATCACAGGTGAAAGAAGCTCGCTACAGACATGGGAAATGAGGTATCACAAGAGTTGCATCTACCCAACTGCATTTCACTTGGCATGCTTTGGCTGAATTCTGACATGTTCCTTCCTAGCCAGTCCCGGGCCCAATACTGCCTCTCAGCTCTGCTGCCAGGGGCCTAACACCTTTCTCACCTTTTGTAGGCTTTCACACGTGTGTGTGTGTGTGTGTGTGTGTGTGTGTGTGTGTGTGTGTGTTAATCCCATGATCCTCCTCAGTTCCCCTTTCTAAAAGTGGTAGAGTTTTTCTGAGCTCCTGCCAGCAAGCCTCCAGGGGAATGGGTCTTACTTTGCCAAGAGATTCTGCCCATACCTGGAGAGAAACTGGGATGATGGTTCTCATGATTGTGGAGGACATGTACACCATATGGACAGTAACAAAGTGTACTTGTTGCAGATGCCCAGGGGGTATCCACAACCCTTTTGGCCCCATGGAGGCATGGTGCTCCAGCAAACAGGCCCTGTGAGTGACTAGGTGATCCTTGTCCTGCAAGGCTCTCACTGATGTGGCCAGCTGGAGCACACCCAGGTCTCACCCAAGTGGACATGTAGGTCTTTGCAGAACCAGCTTTCACTCCTCTTCATCCCTTCACTGGCCTCTCTGTCATCTCTCCTCTTACAAGCCCCCAGGTGCACCCACTCACTCAACTTCCAGCCATCAACTCTGCAAGTCTGTGGGACTTGAAGCTGCCTGGGAAGGTGCCAGGCCCACAAACTACCATATAACCACAAATAGCCTCAACAGTTACCACACAGCATTCTCCATCCCCTCCCAAACAATGCTTCTTTCTGGCCTTATGTCACTCCCTGTCTTTTCAGACCTAGCAGTTATATAAACACATGCTAGAAAGGGCTGGCTGCATCTGCCTGTATGAGGCTCTCCCATGGAGTTCCTAGTCTCTGTCCTCCCATTTCAGTGGAAACATCTGGAGGTGAGGCTGCAGGTGAAGGCGACTGGCTTGGTGCTGTTCCTTCCAAAGAAGGGATAGTCAGCCTTAGGTACAAACACACAAACACACACACACAGGTGAAAGCCATTCAGGGGCAGAATACTGTGTGTTGTGTATGGCGGAGACACCAGAAGGAGAATGTGTGTGTGTGTGGAGGGAGGCAGCATCGTGGAAGGCCTGATGTGGATCCTTTGGGGACTGATCTCCTGAGCTCTGCCGGCACTGCTGTTAGCACTGGCTTGCGCCATCTTCCAGCTCCACTGACACTAGAGCAACAGCCATCACCACAAATGCACTGACCACAAGCTTCTGCATGCAGGGAATCTTGCCTAAGGGCTCTTCAGACAGCTCCAGAACTAAGCCCCACGTTGCACCAGCCCCCGCCACACACCTGCCTGCCCTCTTACTCATTAATCCTCTGCCTTCTTTCCCTACTGTTTCCTTTGTTTCCACTGTTCTTATTGTTAATTTCAAAAAAAAAAAAACTGGCACACAATGACATCTCTCTGGTGGAAAAAAATTCCAATCCGTGGCCCCAAATCATTTTCGAGTTGGTGCAGCCCCTGGCACTGTCTACTAGGGAACACAATCCTTGAACAGTTACGCTTCAGAGGACCTCCCCACTCTTTGCCTCCTTGTTTTTGGCAGTCAAGAAGCTATCCAACCTTCCTTATTCTGGATTCCTTACCTTTTTGCTGGTAGCCTGTTATCTGCCCATATTAGTAGGAGTAGTACCTCTGATTTAGGTCACAGGCCTCTATGTCCCAACAGTAAATGGAACTCAGAACCGATCTCACAAGGCATCTTCCTAAGGTGGCAGGGAATTTTGGAGGACAGGAGTGCAAAGGAAAACACGGAGGGAAGGGCATACTCCAGTTGTTGCCCAGTCCAATGCAAGGAGAACTACTTTGGAGGGTACATGTTGGGGAAACATTCCTGGGGCCCAAAGTTCACATAAAGTCCTATCAGCAGTTCTGTCACACGGATTCATGAGGGGGAAAGAGGAAGGGAGAGCCTGTTTGTCTAAAGACGTGGCCAACCCATGTCTTATCTTCTGCTGATGACCTCACATGAACAGTTGGAACTAACACACACAAGCCCTTACAAAACAACTAGCATGTGTGCAAACCAATGCACACAGTCTTCAGATAGCATTTCTGGCCAGCATCCTGGCAGGTAGGTTGGAAGGAGCTGCTGGCTAGCACTGAAGAGAATGTAGAATGGCGTAGGGGGACGACTGGGAGAACTCTCCCTAGATGAATCTGTGCTAGCTTGGAGAACCCATCCAAGCTCTGAAGAAATAGGTCACTTGAATTAATAACAGCGCCAATGCTGGGGTTTCCTGCCACAGGGACTTTTGCACAATTCATCAGGATATCTTGGCAAGACTACTTACTCCTAACAGCACTGGGAAGACCAAGGGGTTAGAAGGCTCTAGAATGTCCTTGCAGACAGCACCAGTGGATATTTCCAGTCCATGGCCAGCAGGAAATAGTGTGTGAGGGAGGGGGACAGTAGATTTAGGAAGGGAGGTGAGGGGGAAGTGGTTGGACAATCCCAATCTCTGTCAGAGAGACTGCAAGAACCCTAGCAAAACCTTTCCTTTTCCTCAACAAAACAGGTATGCATATCTCATTGTGGAAAGCACTGCATCTGGCTTAGACATTCACCTATGAGCAGAAACAGAGAAAGGAACCTCTGGCACCACCAGACATAGACCTCCTGACCTCCCTGACTGAACCTGACTAACCTGACTGGTTCTCCTGTGGCATGAATTCTGCCAGCCATTGTTTAGCTCACCAATGGATGCCATCCTGCAATGTGCTCCTCATGGGCCTGCTTTCCTAGAGGAAGGTTCATCACATGCCATGTTTACCCTCTGCATTCTCAGTGAAAGATAGGTGGCTTCCTTCAGGGCACTGAAGCAAAGACAAGGTCTTTAATTAGAAAAAAGAAAGAATTTCACAGGAATAAGAGCAGGGGGATATTCAGAGCGACTTTAGTAAGGAGCCATAAATGTCTGTTCCACACCTATATATGCTCCACTCCCATACTGAGTTTTATCACAACACCTAATTCTATCACATGCAATGTGACAGAGGCGTCCCAGGAAGGAAAGTCCTTCAGAGTATTACCACCAATTAAACATAAAAAACCCAGAAGAAATGACATGGCTCAAGAGCTAGTCAGTGTCACCCTTCAGGACAAAACCTCCGTGACAGTTTCCTGGCCTTGAGTTTAAGCTCTACAACTGGCACTGAAATAATAATAGTAATAATTCTACAGAGATACGACAGATTTGTGGCATTGGATAAGATGTCCACTCAAATCAGGTGATTGGGATAGTTAATAGCTCTGAAAATATTTTTTTGTGGAGTTCTACTTTTCTTATCTTTGTGGCCAGGTGATCCTTGCTCTAAGTTTAGCAGTTGCATTACTACGTTGGTTTCCATTCTGTGGTTGCTGGTGGCAACTTCAGTCTGAAAGAATTACAGCCCTGCATGCCCTTGTGGAAAGCATTGGAGACCACACGAAGCCTTTACCAGCTTGTTACCATCAGACAAAGTGTTGGCACAATCATCATCTCATGCTGAACCAGACAGTCATGACGCAGAGAAGCCATGCTGCTGAAAGGAAAACCTCCCACTCCTACTGCTTTAACTCATGCCAACGTGCACTTACTTTTCATAATGTCACCCATTCAGTACTGCCATACACATGCAATCACACTGTGCATGACTGTGAGGGACAGCACTGCAGGAACTGCTGATTTCACTGTATCTTGTTCCTTCGTTTTTCCTAGTACTACCCCAGCAAGGGGTAGTTAAACAACCACTGGGCCAAAGAGAAGCTGCACTTATAGGCTATTTTTCTAAAGTGGGTGTACCATTTGCACTCTGCTGCCATTGGATGAATGTCTGAATCTCTCTGGTCTTAACTAATATCACTATAACAAACATTGTTAGTGCAAATTTTTGTGAGGTCTGAGGTTACACATCCAGTGTGCTTCAAATAGGTAATAGCATCCAAAACCCTGCCATGTGTTTGTCATCTATATTTGATGGTGGTCAAAGCTGACCGTACAAGTCTTTTGCTCACATTGCAGTTAGGTTGTATTTCTGTGTTCTGACCATGGAGTTGTGAGCCATGTTCCAGAACATTTTATTGGACTGTGCGAGGTGACAAAATCAGAAAAAGCTGAAGGTTGCTCAGAGTCTAAATTTTTCAAGGACAAAGCTGAGATTCAAACATGGGCAGTGCGTGCTTAGACACCATCGTGAGCAGTTGCTCACCACAATCATCACTGTAGGCACAGATGGACAGCCATTCAGAGGCACAGGTACCTCCTAGCATTATTAATTATGCGTACCTGTGACTAGTCTAGCTGATCTGAGGACAGCTAAGGAATGCTTTAACTCACACACTAATGGGCTAATAAAAGTGACAAGGTTTCATTATACTACAAGGTATTTTATACTCTGGATTCAATACTTTGGACAAGGAGCACTAAATTGTGACTGTATCACTTTTTGGGAGGCAGCAGGGGAAGCAAGTGAACAGTCTCTGAAATGTGAAAGGTCATGAGCTACCACCTCCTATCCACATCCTAAGGCCCCTTTGCTAGACAAGAATGCATCTCCCTAAAAGCATCCCCAGAAGAATGGCCCAGTATGGACCTAAGGAGGTTCTGTAAGCATCCAAAGAAAACCAGGTTTCAAGTGACTCAGTGACAACAATAGATTTGCCAACCAACTGCCACCATTAGGAGGTCAGAGTGAGTTTACTTTGTGGCTTGGGTAGTAGCAATTGGAGGCTGACTTGATGGGTCTTCTGAAGAACCCAGCAGGGTTAAATAAAGTGGCCAAGCAGATTGACACGCCACAGTACCTGTGCCCACATCACTCAGTACCTTATCACTAGGTGGTTCTACAGACTACCTGACAGTGCACAGAGGAAGGCTGCATAGCCAAGTGCTCAGGATACACTGACCAAAGGTCATTGCTGAGGAACAGAAATGAGCAGAAAAGGCTCAGCTCCTCAGTAACATGGACTCTCCCATTGGGTGAAGCACAAAAACTCTGAAGACATACAGGCCTGTGTTCAAGTCCTATTTCTAACACATTGGAGCAGATTAAGCCAGAGCTCAAGTTCTGGTACAAAGCTGTGATAATATCCATGTCTGTTAGGGAGAAGTCACATGTTGCTTGTTATACTCCAAGCTCAGTGCTAAAGGAAGCACATGTCCACAGACACAGATAGCTCTCATTCACTCATTGTCAATCTGGACACAGGTGACAATGCTGAACCCCAGAACCCAGACTGTTCATAAGAGGCCCTAATCCCTTCACCAACTTGGCAAAGTGAGACCTGTATTTCCAGCAAAGCAGAGGAACCGCAAATTGCAGAGTCTCTGGAATTCCAGCACAAGCTTCTTAATCCTGATTCTTCACAATCTCTATAAGCTTAGTGCCCATCCCTCATGGTCACTATGTTGACTGACTGTGGCTGAAGGCTCAGCCAATGCCAGAGGTAAAGGCAGCTTTCGGGGGTATGCACAGGGTGCCTAGTGCCTGGGCCTCCAAACATTAGTGAGAACTAAGAGCAGAAAGCCTGTGGTCAGGCCTTCTGAGCCCCATGCAGGACAGCAGCCGAACAACTGCCTTATCTTCAGCCACAGAACCAGGGGGACTGTTATCAGACTCAGCCAAAACACACAGGCTCAGAGTTGCAAAAGAACCAAGTTTCTGAATACTATAATCAAATTCCACTCAGAAGTGAACCGAATGGAGACACATTCATCTACAAATACTGATAGATGGTAACCTGCCTCTATAAAACCTTAAACGAATCAAAAGATGGGGAAGATAAGGCGTAACAGCCTTCCCTGATAATCCTATAATGGAAATGCAAGCAAATACATGCTCCTTCTGAATAACTTCCTACTGACACTCTGCAAGATCTTTGCTTGTCATGGAAAAAGTTACCCTGCTGCCTAGCCAGCCAAAAGACCTTCTTATCTATCCACTAAGGCTCAGTGGTAGAGTGCTCAGAGTGCAGAAGGCACTGGGTCCAAGCCCCAGCATTTTTCACCCACAGGAACACCACCACTATATTGTGACACATGATCCTGATCAAGGGCTGTCAAAAACCAGATCCACAATCCTACAAACAGCCCTAAAGAAAACATTCTGTTTGTTCTGAGATAAGGATATTTAGTTGAATATTAATATGGCCCATCCCCTCTCCTGCCATTGAGAATGACTCAGGAAGTTTGCTGTCTCTAGGACACCAGCCCAAGCAGAAGCAGCACAAGCTTCATCAGCAGGTCCAACCTCTAGCTCCACAGAACCAAGAACATTATGCAAGACAGTCAATTCAGTCAACACTACTTCAAGATGTGTTTCATCAGTAACACAGGTCAAGCCATAGAGATCACAATGGCAGAAAACTCAACAACAATCACTTCTGGCTGTTGGTAATGCTCTGGTAAAAGAACTGCTCTTCCGAAAGACTTAATGGCCTTTGGATGAGGCTCCATCAATGCTTGATACAGGATGCATGGTGTACTTCCCCTCCCTTGTTCACCCACAGCTCAGTGTGTGTAGTGCAGTGACTACATAAAGACAAGTGGGAGCCCAGATTACACAGGCACCATACAAATTCTAGGGAAGAGACCTTTCAGGACCCACACCCACTGCATCTGGGACAGACACCAAGTCACTGAGTCAGCAAGCCCAGCAAGCAGCAGGCATTCAGCAAACTGGGTCTCAAAGAAGGAAAATGGTAACATCTAAAAGAGTGTGCCCCAAGACCACTGATATTCTATGGGACCAGAGTACAATGGGCAGGGGGCAACATTTGCCTTCCAAACATCAACTTCCTAAAATCTGCAGGATACTGCCTTCACCCCTCCCCTCTATGCTGAGGGATCAGTGTGCTAAGATTGTGCTGCAAATCTTCTTGTAGCCCTGATTAAAACTGAAAAATACTGAAGAGTAAGAAGAGGAACAGCCAGCAGGTGGCATGTGAACTACAGGGTAGCCAAGAAAGAATAGCAGAGGCCAATTTACAATGACATGAACAAACAATGAAATGAGAAGGCAAAATCAACAGCTTATCAGGAGCAGGAGAAAAAGACACCCAAGTGGCAGGAGTCAGGCAGCTGGCCCACACTGCCATAGAACCGTAATCTGCTCCCACAGGAAAACCCTTTGCAGCTGCCAGCCCTGCCTGCCAGCCAGCCTGACACCATGCTCTGCATTCTACCATTCGGCCTCTAATCCATTTCACCCAAATTTCTTCTCAGATGTCCTTATAAGATCCCTAGGCTGGGTGCTGATGGCTCACACCTGTAATCCTAGCTACTTAGGAGGGTAAGATCTGAGGATCACAGTTCAAAGCCAGCCTGGGCAGGAAAGTCCGTGAGACTCCTATCTCCAATTAGCTACTAGAAAACTAGAAGTGGCACAGTGGCTCAAATGATAGATCACTTGCCTTGAGCTGAAGAGTACAGGGACAGGCATAGTACCAAAGTTCAAGCCCCATGACCGACAATAATAAGTAAATAAATGAATAAGTATATAAATAAATAAATAAGATCCCTAGGAACATAGCTCTTTGGCCTTACCAGGTCTCCTAGCCCCATGAATGGGATACTGACCTGCCACCCAAGACCAGCACAGCCAACCCAGGACACTAGGGCCAAGAGCAATGTAATGACTCCAACTACTAAGAGCAAGGCTCCTCATCCTGGATGCCTGGCTAGTTCCACTTCAGTCTCTGACAGCTGCTGGGTACCCCATGCTCATTGGTCACCCTACCTGTCACAGAGTCCATGTGCACCAGGAGCAACACAGAGCAATGAGCCACAGCCATGTGAAGTTAGAACATAAATGACCAGCACACAGAGTATAAAATAAAACCCACCTTGGAAAAACACACAGAATCAGGCAGGGGAGGTACTGGGGACCTCACTTTAGACACCGGAGATGCCAGTGAATAGAGCCCATGGTGACTGCTTCCCCACAGAGAGTAAAACATTGGGTATGTCCACAGGACACACTGAGCTCACGTTTCCTCCCAGGGTGGTTGCATCAAGTCTGGGAGCCCAGGAGTCCTGAGACAGGGCAGAGAAAATGAGTGACAGGAACAAGCCTGCTGCTGGAGCCTTTATTCCCCAACTTCTCCCTAAAGAAAAAGCGTGAGCTATTGAATCCACACTTGTGACCCCGCAGAGGCTATACAACCATGCATATCATGCAGAGCTCTGGTCCACGGGGATCTCTAGGCAGACAGCGATCTGTTACTTCTCACAGCAGTTAGTACAGAAAGTACCTCACTTTAAGCACACACTTTTCCTTTCTCTTGGTAGTGCATTCTGTTTCATACAGTAAAATGAAGAGCAACGCCAGGTTCTACTACCAAATCACTTCTCATGCCATTCCATCCAACAGTATGTTGAAAGTGAAAAAAGGAATCTTTGTCATTTTTTAAAGCAAACTGATGTAATTATGTCCAACATAACCAGCTAATTCTTTTTTTTGGGAGGGGTCCAGTCGTAGGGACTGAACTCTGGGCCTGGGCGCTGTCCCTCAGCTCTTCAGCTCAAAGCTAGCGCTCTACCACTTGAGCCACAGCGCCATTTCCAGCTTTTTTCTTTCTGCTTAAGTGGTGCTGAGAAATCGAACCCAGGGCCTCAGGCATGCAAGGCAAGCGCTCTACCACTGAGCCACCTTCCCAGACCCAAACCAGCTAATCCTTTAGTTTATTTTTTATAATTATCTTTAAGTAGTTGTACAAAGAAGTTCCCATTCTACAAAATAGTATATGAGTACAAAGTGTCTGACAACATTGTCACTCTCTTAACCCATCCCTTCTCTCACTTTTTTTTATTTAATTGAGATTAGGTGATTACATAAATTTCACATATTTACAGTATTGTGAAATAGTGATACTTAGAGTCACGATCACATTTTAACTTTCACAAGGCAAATTGTCATTATCATGGTCTATATAGTATGTGAATTCTATGAGCTTTGTCAATACAAGTTATTTTTTTCACATCTGGTGATGTTTACATTTCTTTCTTTTTGCTTATTGTAGGATGTTTCCACTTATTCTGTTCCTCTTCCTGGCTTCCCTCTGTGTGTGTGTATATCTATCATATATATAGTCAAGAAAATGGAGTCATTTAGCAATGACATGACAAAATGGGTGGCTGTCCATTGTTTCTTGAGTCCTGTTACTTTGCCATATCTTCTTGCATTTGGCTTTATCATCAACATATCAGGGAGACCATGTACCATTTCTCTCTTTGTTCTTGGCTTACTTTGCTCAAAATAATCTGCTCTAGTTCCATCCATTTCCCTGCAAATGTCATTATTTTGTCCTTTCTAATGACTGCATAATATTCCATTGTATATAAGTACCACAATTTTTGGATGCACTTATCAGTAATGGGGAATCTGAGTTGTTTCCGAATCTTGGCTATTGTGTACAGTGCTGCAATAAACATGGAGGTCCATGTGTCTTTGTATACTGGTTCCTGTTGCTCAGGGTAGATGCCTAGGAGTGGTATGGCTGGGTTATAGGGGAGATCTATATTTAGCTTTCTGAGGTATCTCCAGACTATTTTCCAAAGTGGTTGTATTAGTATACATTCCAACCAGCAATGCAGTAGGGTTCCTCTTTCTTCCACATCCCCTCCAGCATTTGTCATTGGCTGACATTAGGATGTGGGCCATTCTGACTGGGGTAAGGTGTCTCAGTGTTGTTTTTATTTGCATTTCCTTTACAGCCAGGGATGATGAATATTTCCTCATAACCAGCTAATTCTAAGAGCCAAGTGATATAAGAGAGCAAAAGAAAAGGTAACACCGTCAAAAAAGAAATGATTCCCTGATTTCTGTAAGTATAAGCCCTCTGAACATCACTTTTATATACTTTTTTTTAATGTTATTCATGGGGCTTGAAATCAGGGCCTGACCACTGTCCAGGAGCTTTGTTCCTGAATGCAAGTGGCTCTACGACTTTGAACCACTGTGCCACTTCCAGTTTGCTGTTGGTTAGTTGAAGATAAGAGTCTCACAGACTTTCTTGCCTGAGATGGCTTTGAAACATAATTCACTCTCAGCCTGATGAGCAGCTAGGATGACAGGCATAGCCACTGTCATGCGGCTCAATTTTTAAAAGTCTTTAATACTTAAAACCAAGAAATGTACTCATTACTTGACTTAGGAAACAGTAACCTCTCTGTGTATCACCTTTGTCATAACAACAACAAATAATAATAAAATAAATTATTAAACCACTACCTCCACATGAGAAAGAGCCTGTGGCCTGACAAGCAATGGCAAGCAGGGTGGGTCTGAGCTCTCTTCACAGACCTGCCTGTCCACAGGTCGGTCTGTGCAGGGCTCCCCTCCTCACCGTGGTCAGGCAGCATTTACCCTATGGCTCTGAAGGAGCCTGATCATACAGAGTGATCCTCCACACCAGGTCCTCCAAGGAGTCAGGAATAAATGTGAGGCATTCCATGAGTGTCAAAGGTTAAAACGTAGTATTGGCAAAGACACCAAGCACTTGCTGTAGAGAAAAAAAAAGAGGCTGAATGCTCAGAGCAAGCAGGGACACAAGAACCAGGAAGCCAACAAGCAGGTATTAGAGATGAAACTCTCCGGAGCCCTCAAGTGCCACTTACCATTTATGATGGAAACATGGGTAATTTCCACCAAACTCCAGCCCCCAACCACTGGAACATGGGTAATTTCCACCAAACTCCAGCCCCCAACCACTGGATCAGACGAGAGCCAGCGAAGCACAGCCATCCCCCAATTCTTGCAAGTGTTATCACGGTACACACGCATAAGGAGGTGAGACTAGACAGGCCCTAAGGTCCAAAAGAGTAATATTTCCAAAGGACTGAGTTGGATCTCAGACCCTTTCACTAGTTCTTGCAAGAGCTAATATGGATGACAGGCCTCTTTCCTCCTCTAGCTTCCTGGGAGGTGGGGTGATATCTCTGCCCACATGAGGCTCTTTCCAATGCCAGGAAGTCCCCAACATAGCTAAGGTGATTTCAGCAACAGGCTCTTTTTATCTCCAGGACTGTTAGCTAAAGCAACCTCTTCTTTAAGAAGTACCCAGCCTCTAATACCTTATCCTGTTAATGAGATACTAAGAGATCCTGAGGGTTACACACAGTTTCCTCCCAATGGCCCAATGAGTCCCCATGGATGCCCTGAGTGAACATCTACCTGGTAGTGATATCACAGGGCCCGTGTGCTCCCTCAGTGACAGCTCCCATGGCTGAAGCTCCACCACAAATCCACAAAGGTCTTCTGGAGTCCTGAGAGAAGAAGAAGACTGAACACAGTCCCATGTGCCCCTGGAAATGGACTTAATCCTGCACCCAATATACAGGGTAGAAGTCATACCAGCCACTGACTACTCAAGAGACCAGGACAAGTCACACATCGAGCTTTTACACCAGTAGGGTCAAAACACAGCCTCCACAAGCTACACACTGGTTCCAACCCAGTTCCTCAACTACACAAGGTTACTTTTATGAAGTCAGTTTATCCACCTGGAAAACCAAGAGACAGCACATAACAAATAGTATCACTTGCCCAAAAACATGCCTGTCATGAGGCAGTACTGGGCAGAACTTAGCTCCTTCCTAGACTCAACAAAACATTCTGTGCAATAGCACAGGGAGGAATAGTGCAAAGAAGCCTGTGAATGAGCTGCTCCATGAAAACCACTCACATCTTCCTCATTATTTCCATCCGGCTATGAGGAAACTGGGGCTTCAAGATATGTTTGGTGATGTAACATCCCCTCCATCCATGAATGTAAGCACACTCAGTGCCGACCTCACCTTCTGACTACTGCTGCAGGAAGACATGTACCCAGAGCATCGTACATTGAAGAGTGGTGCGAGTGTCCCAGACACACCTGTGGGCTTGTGGCATGGTACTGCTGGGTGGCACACAAGTTTGAGGCTGAGGATGAATTCTGCTTTCATCATCACCTGTCACAGCAGTGAGCACAGGGCACACAAAAGGAATGTGCAGGCAGAGCTATGTAGTGTGAGCTGCCCACAGCCTCAGCCCTGTCCCTGTTAAGGCCCCCATGACCTCACTGACTGGGTGGAAGCAAGCTTTGCACTTGTCACTCTGCAAGGAGAGTCCTACATCACACTATAGGACTGTACTGAGGCCATCCTCCTAATCCTCCTACCTGCCTGTGGACTCTGCTGCTGTCTTCAGGATGACAGCAAGCACCCCAGGATGATCTTAGGTAGGCAGTACTAGCATACGACTGAAAGACCATTCATTTTTCTAAGGAGCTCTAGGTTCCCATGGGCAGGGCCCTTGCCAGTACTGATACAAAGGAGCCACCTCAACCCACTGTCAGATTCATGCTGCTGTGGATCCACTCTGGCCTCTTCTAATTCCTATGCGGAAGCACTAACTCTGTAGGAGGGTTTTGGAGGTGAGTAGGGTAGGTGTGAGGCCAGGAAGGTAATGTGCCCTTTGGAAAGTTAATGCACTCACCACAC